TATTAAATAGCATTTAATACATCAATGGACTGCTGCTGATCTATGAACTCAGGAGCTCCAAGGTTAATATGTGGTTAGTAACTAAGATTTACACATATTGATATGCACAGAGAGAGAGAGAGAGAGAGGAGCTCAAGGTGCCAGTTCCCCTGGTAGTCTAAGCCAGGGGTTCTCAAACTTTTTGGCTTGTGTACCCCCTTTCAGATTTTTTTTCAGCCAAGTACCCCCTTATCCAGTCAAAGACATTTTTCAGGAAATAATTTGGGTAAAGAACATTACTAAACAAATGTATGTGGTCTTCATAAAGCTGTTGGCTTATGTCACCCCGCAAAAGAAAAAACAGTGCTTCGTGAGGAACAGAATACGTGGAGGTAAATCCCATAAAAATGTATTAGTGGTGGGCGATATGGAAAAAATATCATATCACAATCACAATTTTATCACAATTTTTTTCCCATACTGATCTTAAAGAAAGATTTTGCAAGTTACCAACCAGTTTAACCGAACGTATTTCCCTGTATAATGTTTTTAATTGCACAAATACTGTGCTTATAAGTTTAGTCTATTTAAAATTGTCATTGTTGCTGGACATCTCCCCAGAACATTTTTAACACCAGAAATACATTCTGATAAATTTGTATGTGGGTCAGTGACAAATAAGGGTTGTTCAGATGACCAATTCAAAAATCTTTTAAAAACACAATTTGAAAGCATGCATCAGGTTCATTAAAATGTGAGATTTGTATTCATGTTGGTTTTGTGTTTTTTAAATGACATTTAAACCTTTTTTTTCAAAAGGTAAGACTAAATGGACCTAAAAATGTCAAGTGGTGTAACCACTGAAAAATTAAGAATATTGAATATTTCATACATCTAAAGTATATGTAAGTGTACTCATGATTGTAATTACTTCATTTTAAAATAGCACAAGAAAATAGATTTTATTAGGATTATCCCTAAATTTATAAGTTATGCCCTTTTTCAATACTGAGCGGGACACAAAGCTGAAACCACCTCTGTTTTTCTAATTAATTTTTGGCAAATTATGTGAAAATTGTTAAAAAAACATGTTATTTCACTGCAATAGAGGACTACTTTTATTCAACTTTAATTTTCCTGTATTTTATTATAATTTTTACAAGAAATACTGGTTACACCAATTGACGCAAACCAGTTACACCAACTGACCATACTGCTTCTACAGTCAAAGGCCATTGTTTCTTGAAGAAATTGTTGTTAGCTTCCCCCATTTAATGTTTGCTCCACCTTCCAAAGTGCACAGAATACCAGTACGCTGATGACAGTAATGTAGCACATTTGTCTTAAACACAGAATAGTATAAAACTGAAGTGAATAGATCGGCCTTTTGGATGGGTCTCATAGATCGGCAAATTCTTACTGATACCTGATCTGGCTGTCTTAGTCAGGATCGGTGCATCCTTAATTAATTCATATCTTAAGTAAATTACAACATCTGACCAAAATCTTCAGGGGGAATTCATTTCTTCAGTATTTGGAATAAACTCAAGGTACTTGTGCCCTAATCAAAGGATAACATACCCACAGGCAACACTTTACATCTCTCTTCTTTACATCATGGCCATCACAGCACAAACAGCATTGCCACCTTCTATAGTACCAGACTTTGGCAAGCAAGCTCCAGGTAGTGACACGCTGATACTCCCACATGGCCCCTGATAGCCGACACATCTAAAATGCAACTACTGGTGCCAATATTACAGGATACATACATATATTAGATCATACATGTTTAAAGGTGCACTATGTAGATTTGGTGGTGAAATTTGAAAGTTGGAGAAGTGAAACAATTCTTTGATATATTTTCTGAACTGAATACACAAACTTTATTCAAAGTATAAAATGGGTCCCTGGAACACTGTTTGGAGATATAAAGTTACTAAAGTTACCAGGAGAGTTACGCTTTCACTGTTGCGGGCCCACCACCATAACTTCTCCAGTAGCATTTTATCTTCAAACAGTGTTACAGGGACCACATTTTCATCTGAGGACAGTTTGTGTTTAGAGTTATTATAGACATATACCACATAATCTGTAAATATCTCCAATTTTCACACTTCTCTACCAAAACTACATAGTGCACCTTTATAAATGTAAGTAAATGGAACACAAATATGCAATTTGAAGCTAAACATTTACAAAATGCCAGGGTATTTTGTCCTAGACCCTTGATAATAAGGTTGTGGATGGATAACCACTTAATCAACATAAAAAAAATACTGATATTTGACAAAAGTATCCTCTAACAGAAAGGCTTGTCATAAATGTCAAATAGTGTAACCGGTTACACCATTTGACATTTCCACTTCAAATCAAATTTGACAGGCATTATCATTGAGACCTATGTAAGCACATTTCCTGGTGTGAACATTTCAAATCTAATTTTCGAAGTGAATCCAAATTTTTATAATTATCATAAATTGTTAATGTTTTTCTGAGGTCATACCATTTGACATACCTGACCACGCCCTTAAAATGTCCAGTTATCTCGTGTTTTAAAGAGTTGCTAAACTTGGCCTGCAGCAGTTAGGACCATCAGGGGTTCTTCTTTGTGATATCACTTCTTGTCACATGATATGATGAATATATTAACAAAATGGCTCCTTCAATGGTGGTTACACCATGTTGACAATTTGGTACTTCACTGGGTGACACGATTTCCCTAAAATAATTATAATAATAAGAACAATGATGTTCCACTACTTTAATTTACTATTGAACAGTTCTATTGTAAGATTATGCCAGGCTAGTTCATAGGGTGTTATATGAAAATGTAACCTTTTTAAAGCAAGTTTAATTCTTTGGTACAAAGTTTCAACGGTTACACCACTTAGACATTTTGGCCTAAATACCCCAAATACTCTCTAAAAATGTATAATAAATATAAATTTTAGACTAGGTCCTCAAAACAAAGGATGAAAGCATGTCATTTGTGCATTTATTTTTAGATTTTAAGCCTTTAAAAGTTAACTAAACCATATGGACACAAAAAAATGAGCGTCACGTCATTGACCCATGTACAATTGTAGGCTTTTATGCACCACTTTAAATTAATGATTTAGTATTGTGTGCTCTTTTGTGTCTTTAAATCTATTTTAGGGTTCATCAGGTACTTTTTTTATACAGCAATGCATTCATTTAAAAACATGTAGACTTCTAACATAATCCAAAATGTGATTATTCTGTGACACATGGTCAAAGTCATGTGATGGAGGCGCTGAATGAGATGTTTTCCTCCGCCTACATCAATGCCATCAAGTGAGCCTTCATCCTGGGCATGTTGAAGACGCAGGGATTGATTTGTGGAGGACGCAGCAGGTGAAGTGACCGATTCTTTCTGTTTGCAGGTGTGCGTCCGTGCAGGAGCAGCTCCTCCTCAGAGTGATCATCGCCGAGTTTCGGCGGCTGGGATTGGAGGAGGCCACCTTCCAGCAGGTAAAAAAACAAACGCACACAAGTGTAGAAAAATACCTAGAAAAAGCAGATTATCACCCTTCACTTCCTGAAACAGGCCGTGCAGCTCTCACAGCTGCTGGCTGAAGAAATCTGCAAATTACGGAGATATTATAACAGAATCTCAATGTGAACTAAAGAGTGGAGAAGAACATACTGGAGAACAGGAAACATGCAGCAGCAGGTTCATTAGAGCACGGAGATGGTAGAGGTGGCGTGCAGACAGTCTATGGTCGTGCAGCGATCACAGGGAATAAAGGTCACCACCCCCTCCCACTGGCTCCAGGTGAATTCTCCTGATTATATCCTGCTGAGTTCTCCCTGTGTTTCGTCTGTCAGGTGTTTGTGCAGCACCAGGCTCTGTGTCGGGTGGAGGGTCTCCAGCCCATCAGTGTGTCGGAGGGCCTGGCGGTGTGTCAGCGTCTGGGAGCCTGCAGGATCCTCCTGCTGGAGCCGAGCTGCCTCGGAGTCCTGCAGCGGGTCCGCCGCGGAGTCCTGCAGCGGGTCCGCCTAAACGTCAGCCAGGACGACGTGGTGTTCGCCCTGAAGGCCGACTGAAGGATGTCAAGAATGATTTTGTATTTTCATGTTTACTTCAATGTGTTTTTATGGTTTTAATGTTTTATCTCTAATTGATATTCAATTCCAGCCTCTTAATTTGGGAGAATATTTCCTGTAAGAATAAAAACCTCGTTGGCATTCTTTTATCTCTTTTGGCCCCGTGTGGTGTTTGCACAAGGTGCGCTGCTAGCGTCCGCCTGTGTGGGTGTCATTACTCACTAATCATGACTTTATCTTTCCAAGGAACAGAAACAGAAACCTACAGCCAAATACTTCTGTTAAACAAAACACAGACTCATCAAAGGTTATCCTCTGTGTTGTTTGGCTGCGATGATTAAACTGAAAAAAACGCTCAGGTTTCACGGACAGAAATCTTGTTACATTAAGTTTAATATTTTAAAGGTCACACGTTCTGGAAAATCCACTTCACCATGTTCTTAACTCTAACATGGTCAGTCTACTCTGTCTACAAATCCCCCAATGATGAGAAAAGTCCATCCTCTCCGTCTTTTGCCTGCTCCACTTTTCAGAAAATGTGTGCTCAAACAAGCCGTTTGGAGATTTTCCCTTCATGACATCACAAAGGGCAGTAGCCCCTCCCCCCAGGTGGGTGACACCCCCACAGCTAGGTGTTTGTTCTGCCCTCTAAGTCTGCCTTCTCACCGTAAACAATAAGACAGGGAGCGAAAAAGCCCGAGTACACCAAAGCCCTTCCAGAGAAGGGGGCGTGGTCAGACACAGCTCATTTACATATTTAAAGGTACAGACACAGAAACAGCCTGTTCTGAGCAGGCTGAAACAGAGATTATCACTCCCATGATTCCTCTCCAGTCTCGACGTCATCTTTTGTTATTATTTTTCTGGAGAGCCCCCTGGTGGTGGAACTTACACACTGTGCCTTTAATGTAACATCAACACTCTTGTAAGAACTGTAACATCCAAAGACAAACATTCAAAGTTTTATTAGTGAACATGTTTATTTGATCACAGCATGAACACAATCACCTTCATCCAAAAATAATATTCATCAAATTCACTTCTTTTTGCAAAACCAAGCAACGCAGGGTTATCTATAAAGCAAATGTTCATCACTTCAGAGGAAATTCAGAGAGCTTTTTTATCAGCAAAGTCAAGAATTAGACGACGGAAAAACAATCAGGAACACAAACCACATGAAATCCATTTGGGTCAAAACTCTATCAACTCATGGAAATGCATAAAACAAACTCACAGTGCAGATTTACGTGGATATGTTTAAAATTTAACATGAATTTGTTTAAAGTTTAATCAAATCAAAGTAGCTTATTCTTGAATATTTAAAAATACATAAACACTGGTTTTAAGGATACATCATGTTAATAATTTATTTACATGTTTCACTTTCACATCCGGGAATCGTCTTTTGTGAAACATTCAGACGGAGGAGGTCAGAAAAAAGTGTCCCAATGGATCGATACAAAAACTACTGAGCGCCTGTAGCTAACTGCTAACATGCTAACCAGCGTTTCATTCTGAGGACATAACGTTAAGAAAGAAAGATGTGTGACTTTTTGATCCAATAGATGTCGCCCTTGAGCTCCAGCGTGAAACCAAAACAAACTGCTGTTAGACCACACCTCCTCCATACTGAAGCCTCCGCTCTCCTCCAGCAACACACCTTCAACCCCCCTCCACTCGCATTCCCACGACTGAGTTATAAAATGGATCGCACCGTAATTAAACACCATTAAGCATAAGCGGCAGACAAAACTGTCCTTTACTCAAACTGCAATCACCTGTCCTTCATCGTTGTGTTAGCATGCTAATGTTAGCGCTCTTTAGTTAGCTCGTAGCTTCACATTTCATGTTAATTGACACGGAATGACCGTGATCTAAAAAGTCTTAAATGACATTCAAGGCTGTCCCGTCCATGTTTACACGGCGCCAACAACAACACAGCCAGCAGGGAGTCATGTTACATGTCGGTATGAATTTGTCAAACATTGCTCGATTTGTAAACGTAACAAAAAAAATCTTTGCAAGTGCTCCTGATCTTTTTGTAGGTGATACACTACCTCCATTTTTCTGGAGGACACTACAGTTTCAGCTTAGCCAGAAACTCTTCTATTTCTTTGCTCCTTCGGTTCCACTTTGTTGTGTCTTTTGTTCTCCTCAGAGCTTCGATGCTGTCGTCACGGAAGAAGGACTCGACTGTTATCGAAGCAGCCCTCATGTGGAACTGCATTGCCCCTTGGTGATCCTGTTTATCACAGTATAAGTGCTTTGCAAATCGGTTGTAAAGCACCTGTTTGTCTGCAGGCTCCAAATCCCTTCGGAGCAGTTTCTGGAATATCGCCTCGGATTTAGCCTTGTCTGACTTTGCGTACACACTTGCAAGATCAATTTTCTTGACGAATGAAGAGTTAGGGTAAAGAGAAATAACCTCTCTATGGAGACTGATTGCCCTCTCTGTCATGCCTGGCCTTGGGCGACTCTCTCTGAAAAACAAGATCTTCCACTTGTAGCAGAGCGCAACACACCTCTTAAGATAACGCTCATCTGGATGTTTTTTCAGAGCATCCTCTGCCAAATCAATGGCCTCATCTACAGATATGTACTTTGTGTAAAGTCTCAGTAATGGCTTTATACCGCTGTAGCTACTGACGGGATTTCTCAAGATCTGACTTGCCAACTTCTGTGCTTCATCCTCAACTTTTTGTCCTTTCTTGGCAAGTTGTGTAAGGTAGACAGCAGCGAGGTACAAGTTATTTGGATTCTGATTCTTTGCGCGTTCCATTTTCTTCAGGGAGCTAGCGTCTACCCCGCTTTCGCTGTGCTTACTGGCACGCGCTAAACCTAAGACATAGCTGGCGTTCCACTCCACCCTGTCCGGCTGCATCCTGATGGCTTTCTTGAAGAGATCTGCAGCTTGCGGCTGTACCTTTTTACCAAATTTGATCAGCGTCCAGGCCCTTTCAGCGCAGATCTCTGGATGGAGCTCGCCCTGGGATGGAGATGGGTATTTTTCCATCAGGGCATCAACCTTTGACAAGTAAGCCTGACTCTCCGCTTGATCTCCCAGGTGGTGGTGCAGCCAGGCCAGGTTCCCGTAGTTCACCACTAACCAAGGACCCTCATCTGCCTTTCTCAGCTCATTGAGTGCCTCCGTAGCCTTCTGAAACAAACTCTTAGCCTCTTCATTTAACCCCAGCTTATGCTCAATAAACCCCCGCAGGTTGTAAATGTGGCCCAGCCATCGATTTCCCTTCTCGGTGCCGATGTCCTCAAGCTTGTCCTTTAAACGTAGAAGTCGGGACTTCTCGGGGTCGAGAGCCCAGGTGAAGTGGCACTGCAGATCCTTCAGCTTGGACTCAAAATTTCTTTGACTTTTAGAGGCACTAGAGAATAAAAAAACATCAAAACATATCGTCATTAAGTTAATACAACGGACCCTGAAGTATGATAGGCTTAGATCAGATCACCAATGTTCATTTGATCTTTCTGTAGAATGGGAAAATAAGATAACATCATCAGCTTCTTCTTCATGAAACACAGATGACTCAGATCCTTCAGGGTCGGACTTATGGATTTATACAAAGGATTTACAAAAGGTATAACGCAGTGATGGGGGGGCTCTGTTGACAGGTATGACTCCTGCAGCGATGTGTGCATCACATATTATCAGAGGAAACATAACGAACGCCAACAAAAGAGTCACTGCAAGAGTCTGCTTCAAACCAACACATGAATCTGTTCTGCTGTGGGCCGGACCCACCTAAGGGGACCTTTGACCTTTTATCGGTTTGTGAAAAATACACTTGTGGAATCTTATATTCTTTATACTTTTATGTTTGCTCATTAACTGATCCAATGCATTACACATAGCATTACACATATCACGTATACATGCACCGTGTCCTTATATGACCACTGCAACACACGAACCTTGCACGATACTCACCTCACCACAGGAGTTTTATCTCACGTACACAGACTCAACAACAGCTCCTTATAAGGACTATTTTTTTAAAACTCTCAAGGACAAGTTACTGCTACATTCACATATTTATACACTGACCACAAGGTGCTGACACAGATAAAGCTGCACCTTTTTCTTTGATCCTCCTCTGTAAGTTTCGATCACACTATAAAAGATTGTACGCCCCAAGAGCGGGCAGAGAACTTACTTTGTGTATCCTGTACGCATAGCTGAACTTCTCTCCATGCTGCATGTAATAAACTGGGTGACTTAGCAACTCAACAGTTTCTGAAAGTCTCTTTTATTTGCTCTCGTCCCAAGGTTCGGAGGGTTTTCTCTTTCTGCTGATTTTCTGCAGGCACAGTTCTACCACACACTTCTTGGTCAGCATGATGGATGGGGTGTAAAGCTGTGCCAGAGTCTGCTGGACAACTCGGGCACCAATTGGTGGCACAAGCTTAAAATGTCAGTGTCCTTCACAGGGACAAGTAGAATTTAAAAATTAAAAAAATGTAAAAAAAAAACACAAAATGTACAAAAGGTGCAATGTAGGAGCTGTGCAGTCAACAATGAGAAAAAAATCTTAGTGTATATTAATCTACTCTCAGAGTGCATGTAAATAAAATAAATTTAAACACACAAGTCCTGGCAGAAGCCAATGTATGATGTCACAGCCTCTGTGTACTCATCCAGACTGTTTGCAGCACGACTGCATCATACGTGATGCAATGCCAGAATGACTGGACTAATGTTGGCTGATGTTTAATCAGGTGTTCGTGGCCTGTAGCTGTTTTGTGCCTCTCGTAGTGATGAGACAAGTTTGTCCCACTTGGCAAAACACTGCTGAATGAAGAAGAATCAGCAGAAACAGCTGAAGGATTAGAAGATGAAGAAAAAGTAGAAGATGTAGAAGAAGAGGAAATGGTAAAAGTAGAGTAGTAGAAGAAAAAGTAGTAAAATCAGAAGAACAAGAAGTAAAAGGAGTAAAAGGAGTAGTAGTAGGAGAAGTATTAGTAAAAGATGAAGAAAAAGTAGTAGTGGTAGAACAAGTAGAAGATACTGCATAAAGACTGCTTGAATGTAGTCAGACAATGAGAAAAAGGGGAAAACGTCTCCCTATTGAGCAGTGTTTCCCCGACCATTATATTGGGGGGGTAAGTTAGTCCCAAGAGGTTTGGTCAGTGAAGTTTGGCTGAAGTTTACCATTACCCCAGATGGCGAGTTATCTGGACCACCTGCCGCTTTGAAGCTCACAGTGAAATTACTTCAATTTTATAAATTATCATGTCTTCCACAAAGTATTATTAAAATAACTATTTCACATCATGTCACATTTTGCTCCGTTTGTCTCTCCGTGTGAGAGAGGACAAGTTTTCCTACATTTTTAGGGTCATTTTATATGTGTGGGGTGAACATTGTGGTCAGTAGAGCAATTTGTTCGGGAGATTTTGAAACTATCTCAGAACTCTGTCCCACTCTAGTGATGATGTCACTCACTCTAGCCCCGAACATTCCACCACACACACACCCATTCAAAACATGTGAAAGTAGTTAAAAACATCACAAAACAGTTGAAGGTACAGTTTGAAAAGTATAAAATATAGCAAGATGAGTGTGTGAAAGTAGTTTAAATAGTGGAAAAGTATGTAAACGTTTTAAAGCAAAAATGAAGTCTCTAGGCGGAACGGAGCCAAAGTTATAAGGCTGAGAATAAAGTGGAAAAGTGAAACATTTTCTCATTCATTTGAATGGGAATTTTTTTTTTTTTTAATTTTGTGGAAAAAGTGAAATAACTTAAAAAGTAAAAGTAGTTGAAAAGTGAAGTCATAGCCATCATGTCATGAAGAAGCTGAATAGTATGATAGTTGAATGGTGAAAGTAGCACAAACGGTTGAAGTAGAAGCACAGCGAAAAAAAACAAGGAAGTATAATAATAATAATAAAGATTTGAATAACAATAGTGTGAAGGTTGTATTACAGCATTCCCACTAATAAGTCAACAAATACATGGTGAGTCATGAATAATTGCTGCTTCTACTTATTAAAAACATCTGAGTAGTTTAAAAAAAGGAAATAATGGAGAATTTGAAAACATCTTCATGGACTTTAAGGATCCAAAATATAAATTTTTGTGGCTTTGTGACACAAAAAAAACATCAATGATGCATGACTTCCTAAAACCCAAAACCATCATAATGATCTCCTACCATGGTAAACAATGCAGAATCAAAACCTCACCTCATTTTTCAGCTGTAGTTCTCTCCGTAGTCTTTATGAGTTTGGTCAGTTTGGCAGATTCCTGCTGATGCTGCAGCTTTGAGTTTGCAGAAACAAAATAACAGGACATTCACGAGCACGCATATATAGTCTACGCAGATGTTAGGAGCGGGGCGTTCTCGTGGTCGCGCAGTGTGCAGAGGAGCGAACAGACGCGACTTCGCTGAAGCACTTCGCCCTTCAGCAGAATGGAAGCGAAGTCAAACAGCTGTAGAAGAACCTCAGTGTCATGAACCTTCAAAGGAAATGGGTGAAGCATGACGGATATTTAGAGAAAAATGTGACTCTGACGTGTGTGAGGAAGAGCGAACGCGGACACGCGCCTTTCCCTCCTCGTTCCCGCGCCATGAGTTTCGTTTTCAAGGAATGGAAACCTGAAGCCTCATATCTGTCTGAAACGAAAAAACAAATGTATGACCTCATATAAATTGGTGGTTAAATTTGTTTCCTCTTTTTGGAGCTTTAATCTACATAGACTTTAATCTTCAAACATGAGGTATCAGGAGCAGTGGAAAAGCCATAAAAAACAATTAAACTATAATAAATAAATAAAAACAGATATGACAGCATGATGAATAATTAATGAAGAGAAACACAACAACGTATACCAAATATGTTTTTTAATAGTTATAAATATGAATGTTTGTTTTTGAGACAAAAAATAAAGAAAAGTAAAATTATTTCTAGATGGATTATTAAATAGCATTTAATACATCAATGGACTGCTGCTGATCTATGTATAGAACATGAATGAATTAATACATTTTATTCTCTCTCTCTCTCTCTCTCTATATATATATATATACATTTATATTTATATATACAAAAGGAACCTACAAGACGTGAGAGCTCAGGAGCTCCAAGGTTTATATGTGGTTAGTAACTAAGATTTACACATATTGATATGCACAGAGAGAGAGAGAGAGAGAGAGAGGAGCTCAAGGTGCCAGTTCCCCTGGTAGTCTAAGCCAGGGGTTCTCAAACTTTTTGGCTTGTGTACCCCCTTTCAGATTTGTTTTCAGCCAAGTACCCCCTTATCCAGTCAAAGACATTTTTCAGGAAATAATTTGGGTAAAGAACATTACTAAACAAATGTATGTGGTCTTCATAAAGCTGTTGGCTTATGTCACCCCGCAAAAGAAAAAACAGTGCTTCGTGAGGAACAGAATACGTGGAGGTAAATCCCATAAAAATGTATTAGTGGTGGGCGATATGGAAAAAATATCATATCACGATCACAATTTTATCACAATTTTTTTCCCATACTGATCTTAAAGAAGGATTTTGCAAGTTACCAACCAGTTTAACCGAACGTATTTCCCTGTATAATGTTTTTAATTGCACAAATACTGTGCTTATAAGTTTAGTCTATTTAAAATTGTCATTGTTGCTGGACATCTCCCCAGAACATTTTTAACACCAGAAATGCATTCTGATAAATTTGTATGTACAATTGTAGGCTTTTATGCACCACTTTAAATTAATGATTTATTATTGTGTGCTCTTTTGTGTCTTTAAATCTATTTTAGGGTTCATCAGGTACTTTTTTTATACAGCGATGCATTCATTTAAAAACATGTAGACTTCTAAAATAATCCAAAATGTGATTATTCTGTGACACATGGTCAAAGTCATGTGATGGAGGCGCTGAATGAGATGTTTTCCTCCGCCTACATCAATGCCATCAAGTGAGCCTTCATCCTGGGCATGTTGAAGACGCAGGGATTGATTTGTGGAGGTGTGACGCAGCAGGTGAAGTGACCGATTCTTTCTGTTTGCAGGTGTGCGTCCGTGCAGGAGCAGCTCCTCCTCAGAGCGATCATCGCCGGGTTTCAGCGGCTGGGATTGGAGGAGGCCACCTTCCAGCAGGTAAAAAAAACAAACGCACACAAGTGTAGAAAAATACCTAGAAAAAGCAGATTATCACCCTTCACTTCCTGAAACAGGCCGTGCAGCTCTCACAGCTGCTGGCTGAAGAAATCTGCAAATACGGAGATATTATAACAGAATCTCAATGTGAACTAAAGAGTGGAGAAGAACATACTGGAGAACAGGAAACATGCAGCAGCAGGTTCATTGGAGCACGGAGATGGTAGAGGTGGCGTGCAGACAGTCTATGGTCGTGCAGCGATCACAGGGAATAAAGGTCACCACCCCCTCCCACTGGCTCCAGGTGAATTCTCCTGATTATATCCTGCTGAGTTCTCCCTGTGTTTCGTCTGTCAGGTGTTTGTGCAGCACCAGGCTCTGTGTCGGGTGGAGGGTCTCCAGCCTATCAGTGTGTCGGAGGGCCTGGCGGTGTGTCAGCGTCTGGGAGCCTGGATTTGAGGCGGACCCGCTGCAGGACTCCGAGGCGGCTCGGCTCCAACAGGAGGGTCCTGCAGCAGGTCCGCCTCAAATCCAGCGAGGACGACGTGGTGTTTGCCCTGAAGGCCGACTGAAGGATGTCGAGAATGATTTTGTATTTTCATGTTTACTTCAATGTGTTTTTATGGTTTTAATGTTTTATCTCTGATTGATATTTAATTCCAGCCTCTTAATTTGGGAGAATATTTCCTGTAAGAATAAAAACCTCGTTGGCATTCTTTTATCTCTTTTGGCCCCGTGTGGTGTTTGCACAAGGTGCGCTGCAAGCGTCCGCCTGTGTGGTGTCGTTATTCACTAATCATGACTTTATCTTTCCAAGGAACAGAAACAGAAACCTACAGCCAAATACTTCTGTTAAACAAAACACAGACTCATCAAAGGTTATCCTCGATGTTGTTTGGCTGCGATGATTAAACTGAAAAAAAACGCTCAGGTTTCACGGACAGAAATCTTGTTACATTAAGTTTAATATTTTAAAGGTCACACGTTCTGGAAAATCCACTTCACCATGTTCCTCTAACTCTAACATGTGTCTCTAGTCTGTCTACAAAACCCCCAATGATGAGAAAAGTCCATCCTCTCCGTCCTCTGCCTGCTCCACTTTTCAGAAAATGTGTGCTCAAACAAGCTGTTTGGAGATTTTCCCTTCATGACATCACAAAGGGCAGTAGCCCCTCCCCCAAGTGGGTGACACTCCCACGGCTAGGTGTTTATTCTGCCCTCTGAGTCTGCCTTCTCACCGTAAACAATAGGACATGGAGCGAGAAAGCACCGAGTACACCCCAAGCCCTTCCAGAGAGGGGGCGTGGTCAGACACAGCTCATTTACATATTAAAGGTACAGACACAGAAACAGTCTGTTCTGAGCAAGGCTGAAACAGAGATTATCACTCCCATAATTCCCCCCCAGTCTTAACGTCATCTTTGTTATTGTTTTGCTGGAGAGCCCCCTGGTGGTGGAACTTACACACTGCACCTTTAATGTAACATCAACACTCTAGTAAGAACTGTAACATCCAAAGACAAACATTCAAAGTTTTAGTAGTGAACATGTTTATTTGATCACAGCATGAACACAATCACCTTCATCCAAAAATAATATTCATCAAATTCACTTCTTTTTGCAAAACCAAGCAACGCAGGGTTATCTATAAAGCAAATGTTCATCACTTCAGAGGAAATTCAGAGAGCTTTTTTTATCAGCAAAGTCAAGAATTAGACGACGTAAAAACAATCAGAACACAAACCACATGAAATCCATTTGGGTCAAAACTCTATCAACTCATGGAAATGCATAAAACAAACTCACAGTGCAGATTTACGTGGATATGTTTAAAATTTAACATGAATTTGTTTAAAGTTTAACCAAATCAAAGTTGCTTATTCTTGAATATTTAAAAATACATAAACACAGGTTTTAAGCAAACATCATGTTAATAATTTATTTACATGTTTCGCTGTACCCTTTCACTTTCACATCCGGGAATCGTCTTTTGTGAAACATTCAGACGGAGGAGGTCAGAAAAAGTGTCCCAATGGAGCGATACAAAACCTGATGAGCGCCTGCAGATCGCACTGTAATTAAACACCATTAAGCATAAGCGGCAGACAAAACTGTCCTTTACTCAAACTGCAATCACCTGTCCTTCATCGTTGTGTTAGCATGCTAATGTTAGCGCTCTTTAGTTAGTTCGTACCTTCACACTGCATGTTAATTGACACGGAATGACCGTAATCTAAAAACTCTTGCATGACATTCAAGGCTGTCCCGTCCATGTTTACACGGCGCCGACAAAAACACAGCCAGCAGGGACTCCTGTTACATGTCGGTATGAATTTGTCAAACATTGATCGATTTGTAAACTTAAAAAAAATATATCTTATTTTAGCGTTCCCTGCAAAGAAATCTTAATTACACTGAAACTAATCGAGGCTGCTGTAAAACTTCACCGTTTGAAATCATTGTATGATTTTCATAAACCACCTCAGCTTCATTTTTGCGAGTGCTCCTGATCTTTTTTTAGGTGATACACTACCTCCATTTTTCTGGAGGACACTACAGTTTCAGCTTAGCTAGAAACTCTTCTATTTCTTTACTCTTTCGGTTCCACTTTGTTGTGTCTTTTGTTCTCCTCAGAGCTTTGATGCTGTCGTCACGGAAGAAGGACTCGACTGTTATCGAAGCAGCCCTCATGTGGAACTGCATTGCCCCTTGGTGATCCTGTTTATCACAGTATAAGTGCTTTGCAAATCGGTTGTAAAGCACCTGTTTGTCTGCAGGCTCCAAATCCCTTCGGAGCAGTTTCTGGAATATCTCCTCGGCTTTAGTCTTGTCTGACTTTGCGTACACACTTGCAAGATCAATTTTCTTGATGAATGAAGAGTTAGGGTAAAGAGAAATAACCTCTCTATGGAGACTGATTGCCCTCTCTGTCATGCCTGGCCTTGGGCGACTCTTTCTGAAAAAAAACAAGATCTTCCACTTGTAGCAGAGCGCAACACACCTCGTAAGATAACGCTCATCTGGATGTTTTTTCAGAGCATCCTCTGCCAAATCAATGGCCTCATCTACAGATATGTAGTATGTGTAAAGTCTCAGTAATGGCTTTATACCGCTGTAGCTGCTGACGGGATTTCTCAAGATCTGACTTGCCAACTTCTGTGCTTCATCCTCAACTTTTTGTCCTTTCTTGGCAAGTTGTGTAAGGTAGACAGCAGCGAGGTACAAGTTATTTGGATTCTGATTCTTTGCGCGTTCCATTTTCTTCAGGGAGCTAGCGTCTACCCCGCTTTCGCTGTACTTACTGGCACGCGCTAAACCTAAGACATAGCTGGCGTTCCACTCCACCCTGTCCGGCTGCATCCTGATGGCTTTCTCGAAGAGATCTGCAGCTTGCGGCTGTACCTTTTTACCAAATTTGATCAGCGTCCAGGCCCTTTCAGCGCAGATCTCTGGATGGAGCTCGCCCTGGGATGGAGATGGGTATTTTTCCATCAGGGCATCAACCTTTGACAGGTAAGCCTGACTCTCCGCTTGATCTCCCAGGTGGTGGTGCAGCCAGGCCAGGTTCCCGTAGTTCACCACTAACCAAGGACCCTCATCTGCCTTTCTCAGCTCATTGAGTGCCTCCGTAGCCTTCTGAAACAAACTCTTAGCCTCTTCATTTAACCCCAGCTTATGCTCAATAAACCCCCGCAGGTTGTAAATGTGGCCCAGCCATCGATTTCCCTTCTCGGTGCCGATGTCCTCAAGCTTGTCCTTTAAATGTAAAAGTTGGGACTTCTCGAGGTCGAGAGCCCAGGTGAAGTGGCACTGCAGATCCTTCAGCTTGGACTCAAAATTGCTTTGACTTTTAGAGGCACTAGAGAATAAAAAAACATCAAAACATATCGTCATTAAGTTAATACAACGGACCCTGAAGTATGATAGGCTTAGATCAGATCACCAATGTTCATTTGATATTTCTGTAGAATAGGAAAATAAGATAACATCATCAGCTTCTTCTTCATGAAACACAGATGACTCAGATCCTTCAGGGTCGGACTTACGGATTTATACAAAGGATTTACAAAAGGTATAACGCAGTGATGGGGGGCTCTGTTGACACGTATGACTCCTGCAGTAATGTGTGCATCACATATTATCAGAGGAAACATAACAAACGCCAACAAAAGAGTCACTGCAAGAGTCTGCTTCAAACCAACACATGAATCTGTTCTGCTGTGGGCCGGACCCACCTAAGAGGACCTTTGACCTTTTATCGGTTTGTGAAAAATACACTTCTTGGTCAGCATGATGGATGGGGTGTAAAACTGCGGTAGAGTCTGCTGGACAACTCGGGCACTAAGTGGTGGCACAAGCTCAAAATGTCAGTGTCCTTCACAGGGACAAATAGAATTTAAAAATGTTAAAAATGTTAAAAAAAACAACAAAATGTACAAAAGGTGCAATGTAGGAGCTGTGCAGTTGACAATGAGAAAAAAATCTTAGTGTATATTAATCTAATCTCAGAGTGCATGTAAATAAAATAAATTTAAACACACAAGTCCTGGCAGAAGCCAATGTATGATGTCACAGCCTCTGTGTACTCATCCAGACTGTTTGCAGCACGACTGCATCATACTTGATGCAATGCCAGAATGACTGGACTAATGTTGGCTGATGTTTAATCAGGTGTTCGTGGCCTGTAGCTGTTTTGTGCCTCTCGTAGTGATGAGACAAGTTTGTCCCACTTGGCTGCACGCCTCTGTTTGATATGTTGATATAAATTTAGACAGTCACACTGACGCCCTCGTGTGGTCTCTTTGAGCAATGACACTCACAAGGGCCAGGCAATATGAAAAGCACAGACAACAGTAATAAACTAGACAATTTGCATTTACCTGCAGAAAATGCATGGGAATGCTGACCGCTGAAATGTTTTGCAAAACACTGCTGAATGAAGAAGAATCAGCAGAAACAGCTGAAGGATTAGAAGATGAAGAAAAAGTAGAAGATGTAGAAGAAGAGGAAATGGTAAAAGTAGAGTAGTAGAAGAAAAAGTAGTAAAATCAGAAGAACAAGAAGTAAAAGGAGTAAAAGGAGTAGTAGAAGGAGAAGTATTAGTAGAAGATGAAGAAACAGTAGTAGTGGTAGAACAAGTAGAAGATACTGCATAAAGACTGCTTGAATGTAGTCAGACAATGAGAAAAAGGGGAAAACGTCTCCCTATTGAGCAGTGTTTCCCCGACCATTATATTGGGGGGGGCGGATTGTTTTGGGGCTTTTTGTGCCTTTTTGTGCCTTTTATTGTAGGTATAGGATAATGGTTAGAGTCAGAAATCAGGGAATGAAGTCCTTTAAGGATACCTTTCCGATAGAAAAGGAAAGCTATCATTAAAAGTAACACATGAACACCAAGATTCCTTCAAGTCGTCGTGTCGTTGTGTCGTCGTATCGGCTTGTCCCCACCCCCCCAACGCTGTAAACCTAGGGAAAACACTGTTATGTGCTCATTTCAAGGGCTTAAATTGAGTTGGTGGCTAAATAATGATTTTGTGAGCAAGGGACAAATGGCCGAACGCGTTGATGTGATTTTGATGTCTGGGATCCAAGAAATGTGGAAACCACAGTGATCTAAAAAGTTAGTCCTAGTTAAAAACATCATAAAACAGTTGGAGGTACAGTTTGAAAAGTATAAAAGATAGCAAGACGAGTGTGAAAATAGTGGAAAAGTAGGTGAACGTTTTAAAGCAAAAATGAAGTCTCTAGGCGGAACGGAGCCAAAGTTATAAGGCTGAGAATAAAGTGGAAAAGTGAAACATTTTCTCATTCATTTGAATGGGAATTTTTATTTTTTTAATTTTGTGGAAAAAGTGAAATAACTTAAAAAGTAAAAGTAGTTGAAAAGTGAAGTCATAGCCATCGTGTCATGAAGAAGCTGAATAGTATGATAGTTGAATGGTGAAAGTAGCACAAACGGTTGAAGTAGAAGCACGGTGAAAAAAACAAGGAAGTATAATAATAATAATAAAGATTTGAATAACAATAGTGGGAATGCTGTAATACAGCAATAAGTCAACAAATACATGGTGAGTCATGAATAATTGCTGCTTCTACTTATTAAAAAGATCTGAGTAGTTTAAAAAAAATGAAATAATGGAGAATTTGAAAACATCTTCATGGACTTTAAGGATCCAAAATATAAATTTTTGTGGCTTTGTGACACAAAAAAAACATCAATGATGCATGAATTCCTAAAACCCAAAACCATCATAATGATCTCCTACCATGGTAAACAATGCAGAATCAAAACCTCACCTCATTTTTCAGCTGTAGTTCTCTCCGTAGTCTTTATGAGTTTTTTCAGTTTGGCGGATTCCTGCTGATGCTGCAGCTTTGAGTTTGCAGAAACAAAATAACAGGACATTCACGAGCACGCATATATAGTCTACGCAGATGTTAGGAGGCGGGGCGTTCTCGTGGTCGCGCAGTGTGCAGAGGAGCGAACAGACGCGACTTCGCTGAAGCACTTCGCCCTTCAGCAGAATGGAAGCGAAGTCAAACAGCTGTAGAAGAACCTCAGTGTCATGAACCTTTAAAGGAAATGGGTGAAGCATGACGGATATTTGGGGAAAAATGTGACTCTGACGTGTGTGAGGAAGAGCGAACGAGTTCGCGCGAATACAGCGACGCGGACACGCGCCTTTCCCTCCTCGTTCCCGCGCCATGAGTTTCGTTTTCAAGGAATGGAAACCTGAAGCCTCATATCTGTCTGAAACGAAAAAACAAATGTATGACCTCATATAAATTGGTGGTTAAGTTTGTTTCCTCTTTTTGGAGCTTTAATCTACATAGACTTTAATCTTCAAACATGAGGTATCAGGAGCAGTGGAAAAGCCATAAAAAACAATTAAACTATAATAAATAAATAAAAACAGATATGACAGCATGATGAAGAATTAATGAAGAGAAACACAACAACGTATACCAAATATGTTTTTTAATAGTTATAAATATGAATGTTTGTTTTTGAGACAAAAAATAAAGAAAAGTAAAATTATTTCTAGATGGATTATTAAATAGCATTTAATACATCAATGGACTGCTGCTGATCTATGTATAGAACATGAATGAACAAATACATTTTATTCTCTCTCTCTCTCTCTCTCTCTCTCTATATATATATATATATACATTTATATTTATATATACAAGAGGAACCTACAAGACGTGAGGTTAATATGTGGTTAGTAACTAAGATTTACAGATAGTGATATGATGTGAATGTACAGAGAGAGAGAGAGAGGAGCTCAAGGTGCCAGTTCCCCTGGTAGTCTAGGTAGATGATTACAAAGGAGAGGAGCCTGATAACTGAAGGCTCTACCTCCCGTAGTACATTTAGAGTCTGTAGGTACCACGAGCAGGCCTGATAACTGAAGGCTCTACCTCCCGTAGTACATTTAGAGACTGTAGGTACCACGAGCAGGCTGATAACTGAAGGCTCTACCTCCCGTAGTACATTTAGAGACTGTAGGTACCACGAGCAGGCTGATAACTGAAGGCTCTACCTCCCGTAGTACATTTAGAGACTGTAGGTACCACCAGCAGGTCTGATAACTGAAGGCTCTACCTCCCGTAGTACATTTAGAGACTGTAGGTACCACGAGCAGGTCTGATAACTGAAGGCTCTACCTCCCGTAGTACATTTAGAGACCGTAGGTACCACGAGCAGGCCTGATAAGAGATTTTGGCTCGGCCTATAGTGCACAACATATACTTAGTTTCTGTTACTTTTTTTTTCTGCTTTGTATACATTTAAAGGGAGCTGACAAAAAAAGTAAAGGGCTTGATGTAATAAGCTAATAAGGCTTCAGCCTAAATGGTCCGGTTGAAAATGGTTGAAAAATGACTTCTCACAACTATTGTTTCTAATTGACAGATTAGTTTATAGGCTCTCCTGTGACTTTATATATTTAGTGTCTGAAAATAGTCAAGGTGTCGTGTGTCATAGTATGTAATAGATATTAAAACTATGCAGTGTGTTTGGCTTTGTTGATACTATTGCAGCTGTTACCTGCATTATGACGCTTTGCTTCCACCTACCGGTAGAACAAGAGAACTTCACCGCTTCAAAATAAAAGGTTTCTTTTCAATTCATAAACAATTAATCTGACATCTTATATCTTATAATTTCCCATGTTGTCCTGTAGAAACTGCCACTTACTCACTTTTCATGTGCTTGCTGCTTCATTCAGGAGCCACTTACGTCTCAGCACTACGCATTTTACGTACACTACGCATTTTACGTAAACTACGCACGGCAGAACTCTTCCTGCGTATGTTGTTGTAGAGACAGTATGGCGGAGCTGAAAGAGGCAGACGCTGCTCAGCTACACCAGGAGGACGTCGATATTAAACGTGAGTTAACTCCAGCACGTAGCCGATGAAACACCACATTTGAGGTCTTTAAAAGGGGGGTTAATCGTAGTTTTTATCATTTTCACTGGTGTGTAGTGAATTCACTCAGAATTTAAGTTGGTAAGTGCTGAACTAAACGAGGGCCTCACCACGGAGCTCCGCCATAGGGCCTAAATAGTCAACAATAACAGCTACCTAATGGCTGCAGCGGGCTAACAGGAAAGCTAAAGTGCTGTCGTCAGCTGTTACATTCAACAGTACAGCTTTAGACTGGTTATATTATCACACCGTTAGATTTGAGTTGTACTTGTAGTTTCGGTTTGCACGGTCTCATCGCGGAGCTGCACTACAGGACCGCAGCAGAGCCCAACTGCATGTTTATTTATTTTATTCACAAAGAGAAGGTTGTTTTAGTTTCAGACCTGAAGAAAACAACCACTGTCTAAATGTGGCTTACACTCAAAACATGTATTTATTATTTATTTATTTAAAGAAGGAAAGTCTCATTGAGATAAGAATCACTTTTAGAGCGTCCTGGCCCAGACAGACACTGTCTGACATTAGAGAGCTGTCTCCCCCCTCTCCTCTCTAGAGTGGATGTTCACACAGGTCACCATGTGGTGGACTCTGAAGCTTCAGTGTTTATCCAGCTCTGCATGGGTCTGTAAACCTTTCTGTGTTCTAACCTCTCTCCATTTTTCAAAAGCATCTCCAATATTGATCCTAGTTTGAGCACGTTTCTGCTCGTGGAGCTTATTAGAAACATGCAGAGGCTTTTTAGGTCGGGTACAATCACTTCTATCTGAACCACTTCTCTTGACCGCTTCCATCACTGCAACACCTGTTGACCTGATAACTGCTCTCATATCTGACAAACCGAGGGGTGTCCAAAACGGCTGTGTGGGGGGTCTTAAAAGCGCCTACCTTCTCTGGTCCAAACAAATCCAGAGCATTCAGGAGCAGAATCTAAAGTTAGAAGGAGGACATACTGGCTGCTGCATTGTTGTCAGAGAAGCCAGCACTTCAACATAGCATGTTTCCTTAATGTCTGATGATGTAGTAAGATACCTTTATCATGTCCTTCTCTCTCTCTCTCTCTCTCTGTGAAGGTGGAGCTGCTGGAGATGCTCCCTCAGTCGATGATCAAACTGCAGATCAGACGGCGAAGAATGAAGCTGCTTCAGACAGCGATTCTAAACCCTCAACCACGACTCCAGGTGATGAACCGAGAGCTGCCTCTGTGTATCAGCTTCATGTGTATTCACTGACTCTTCAGAGGAAACTTATCTCTGACACATTAACAACATAAGTCAACTCTTTTTCTCCAAGCAGAGCGACACATTTCCATCCAGACTAAACTGGAGGGCTTTGAGATGCTGGTTGACCTGAACGGCGGTGAGTTTGGTTCTTCATTAAATCCTTTTCCTCCTCTCTCTTGAGTTTGTAAACAGACCTACTTTCTTTTTTTAATATTCAGTTGAGCAACACATAGACATGAAGGGGTTTGAGGGCGGTGTGCAGAGCTTACAGCATCCCATCTGAAAGACCCGTTAGCCAGAGCGCCACTCTTGACGTTTTTGATTGAGAACTTCCAAAACTTCAAACAGCATTGATGAACTTAGCGAGGCTGAGGAAGAGTTTTAACAAAACCTCCTTGACGTACAGCAGCGGCGACGGTCTGACCCGTTACCTGGAACTGTTGGTGATCAACCCCAAAAACATCCGGAGCCCCAGACAGCGGGAAAATGTACAAGTGAAGCGTTACTTACAAGCTTTGTGTTTTTGTGTTTTTGTCATCAGCGGGACGTAAGTCGTGCCCTCTGTGTCCCGAGGAGAAGTTTAAAGCGTGCTACAGCCACAAGCTCCGCCGACACCTGCAGAACCTCCACTGGAAAGTCTACGTGGAGTTTGAAGGTAGGAATGTGATGACAGGCGATCGGGTCCTGCCTCACCTTCGCTCTTCCAGTTCACGCCAAAAGAAGGTCAGACAGTCAAGTCGTTACATACCAAACGATGAACACTGACGGTCAAGAGAAGTGGTTCAGATAGAAGTGATTGTACCCGACCTAAAAAGCCTCTGCATGTTTCTAATAAGCTCCACGAGCAGAAACGTGCTCAAACTAGGATCAATATTGGAGATGCTTTTGAAAAATGGAGAGAGGTTAGAACACAGAAAGGTTTACAGACCCATGCAGAGCTGGATAAACACTGAAGCTTCAGAGTCCACCACATGGTGACCTGAGTGAGCATCCACTCTAGAGAGGAGGGGGGGAGACAGCTCTCTATGATGTTTAGAATTTGGACTGCAGTACCCATTTTAAACACAAGGTGACAGTATCTAATCCATCTGAATGTCAGGATGTCTGTCCAATACTGATAATATCACAACATTTTTTTTACACCTGTTACAGGTCAGAGGATGTGTATATGTCACCTGCCCTGCAGAAACCTGAAGCCCAGCCTCAGCGGAGATCAGGTGAGACATCAAACATGCAAAGCCGTCCACAGATAAAGATTCTCAATTTTAAAGAATAGTTTCAGAGAAGAGGTTCAACACACTCTCAGTCTAAACCCTCTGAGCTCTGAGTTGATTCAGTCTCAGGTGGGGAGCTCTTGAGTCTCTGGTTCCAAAGCAGCTGATTTGAGTTTGATCAGTCAAGAGTAAGAGGGAGGAGACGGATAGGATCTGCTCCTGACCAGGTTAGGTTCACAGACTTGGTTACCGTAGTAACTGACTCGGAGCCGACCCCTCTTTCTTGGGTTTGAGTGACCTCAATTGTTTAGACTGAAAACTCAGAGTCCCCCCTCAGTTCAGGGTTCACAGACTCTGGTTTGCCTTCACATCTCGATCGCACTAAAAGCACATTTTAGATCTTGGACAAACACATGAATTCTAGAGGAGTAGCAGTTCAACACTCGCCGCTCTGTAAGTCCTCGAGACACTCCGTCTGAACGGTGGGATTTTAACTTTCACATCGCTAATCTGTGAGTTAGCTTCAGCCACACTTATTGAACCATATTCCCTCCTTCCAGGCCTCGGGGAGACACGTGGCTCACTACCACTGTGTCGTGTGTTCTGTCACCATCGCCCGGAAAACCGACATGGTCAGCCACCTGAAACGACACGTCAACAAAGGAGAGACTGAAGCCAGCTACTCCGGGAGCTCAGACGCACAGATTGAGGAGCCGGGTAATTAAAGCACCGACAACTCGGTTACACACTTTGTGTCTGTATGCGGACTCGCAAGGGACGGGCTAAAAAAAGAAAACAAGGAAGGGTTCTAATATCGCCACCCTTTGAGGGAGAATTATTAAACTTATGCTGCGTTCAGGTGCTGAATGTCTCTGTTACGAGTTATATTTGAGCAAAGTGTTGATGTGCAAAACGTGACATAAAAGAAGTCTCTTAAAGGCAGGGTTGGTAATTTTAAAGAAACTAGCATGATTTTGAAAGTAGCATTCCCTTAGTGCTCCGTCTGCACCCAACCCCTCCCCTCTGTGCTCCCTCTAAAGCCACGCCCCCCTCACTTACATGCACGAGCGCCGTTTGCTCCAGAAGCGGACCTCAGCTCATCTCTGTCATTGTGTAGAAACTACATCGTCTCATATCTCATTCAGTAAACTCTCAGTATAAACTCCTAAAGTCATCGGTGACGCTCTTTGAGTGTGAGCAGAGGAAGAGGTAGAGAGCGAGCAGGGAGACAGGGAGGCGTCTGATTGGTTCATCAGATTGGTACCTCGTGGCAGACATTGGTGGAAGTTTTTACAGACTTACAAACTGATACAGATGATGGATTCTATTGATGAGTTATGAGTCATTAATGTCTGTCAGGACCTAAAGACAATTTCCACCAAAATCTGAAAAAGTGGATCTGGAGGAAATGACCAAACCCTGCATTTAACATTAAAAAACTCATTTTGCCACCCATGTTGATGAAGAATGTGACATCAAGTCGGCAAGTCTGGCACCCCTAATTCCCCAGTCCGCCTCTGGCCTGCGCTCACACGGCTCCAGGCCAAACCGGGCCTGAGCGCGGTTACCTCATCTGTCATCATCACCTTCCAGAGGTTAACTCATTTATTAGAGGAGCGATGCTGAGATTGTCGTTTTGTGTGTGATTGAATGTGCTTAACGTTTCCGCAGCTCCGTCCGGTCAGGCGTTTGAAATCATGAAAGAACTTGGGACCAACGTGCAGCTCCTCCCGAACCACACCACCCCGCAGAAGAGCGACACCTACTTCAACCGCAAGATGAGGCCCAACAGGTGAGAGACGGTCTGCAAAAGATAAAAGTGCAGATTTATGGGATGACCCAAATCCTCCTGAAGCTGAATGTGTGTTTACGTTTCAGGCAGCTGGTGTTTTGTTCGCTGGCCGTGCTGGCCGAGGAGAGAAACCCGCTCGAGTGTCTCGATGCTTTCGGAGCCACAGGTGAGAAAAGGACGCACAAGAGACGCTGGGCCACTGGTGCCACAGATTCATGTTTCTTGTTATTAGACTTTGAACACTTTTGGAATTACTCCAGCCGGCCGCCATTGGCTGAAGAGTAACCTTAAAGGGAAAATCCACGACAACAAAAAAATTTACTTAACTGTGTGACTACAGAGCAGATTCAGACCAAAACAAACGCTCACTTTAAAAAAAAAAAAAAAAAAGTTGATTCAGTTGTTACCTGTTTGTTTTTCACTTCTCCTTCAGTTTGTAAAGTCTGTTGCTGCTTTAATGCACGTTGCAACAGCGACCCTGAGTGGGCGGGGGCCGTCTCTCTCTTCCCCAGCGTGGCGGCAGGGTAATCAGTCAGAGAGGGAGGGGCTCAAGTGAAGAAAGAAAAAACATGTTTGGGCTGCTGGTGGCACAGTGGTTGGAGCGTGCGCCCCATTTATGGAGACTGTGGTCCTCCAAGCGGGTGACCCGGGTTCTAATCCCGCATGTCTCTCTCTCTCTCTCTCTCTCTCTCTCTCTCTCTCTCTCTCTCTCTCTCTCTCTCTCTCTCTCTCTCTCTCTCTCTCTCTACTGTCCTATCTCTCCTTTAAAGGCACAAAATGCCCAAAAAATAAATCTTAAAAAAAAAAAAAACATGTCTGAGCTTCTGAGTGAAACATAAAGACGCTGAAGGTGGCGCCGTCCCGTCAGTGTGAACACAGAGCCGAGAACAACAAACCCAGAGGGAGTCTGACTTCACGCTCTCCTCAAGAAGTCGTTTCTCAACATTATATCTATAAGGAGTGTTTTTTGATTTTAGAGGTCCAGCTACCGATACGGCCTGAAGTCACCAGAGTTTTCCATGTACACCTCCCCTCTCGTGCTGATTTACACCTCCTGTCTGTTTCTCAGGGATCATGGGCCTCCAGTGGGCGAAGCACCTCCGCAGCGCCGTCAAAGTCACCATAACCGACATCAGCGACACGTGCGTCAAGATGATCAAGGAGAACTGCGAGCTCAACAACATGCGGGTGGACGGTAGCCCGCGAGCGCCTCGAGGGGGGCCCGATGGCGCTGCCGGTGAGGTCAAAGGGGCGCCCATCGCCACGGTGGAGGTCGCCAAGATGGACGCCAACGTCATCATGCACCTGCGGTCTTTCGACTACATGTGAGTACGAGGGGGGGTCAATCACGCAGGGCGCATTCACACCTGAGCCGTTTGAAACCACCTCCAGGTTTGGGGTTGTGTGAACGCTCAAACGAACTCTGGTGCGGACAAAAGAACCGACATTTAAAAAAAAACGGTGATTTTATAACCTTCTACGTCTTGAATCTTTCAGTCACTTGGATCCGTACGGGACGGCGGTGAACTACCTGGACGCCGCCTTCAGAAACGTCCGGAACCTGGGCATCATCTCTGTGACGTCCACCGACACGGGCTCCCTGTACTCCAAGTCTCCAAACGTCACCCTGCGGCACTACGGCTGCCACATCGTACGCACCGAGTACTACAAAGAGCTCGCCGCACGCATGGTCGTCGCCACGGTGGCCAGGTAGCCGTCTGAATCTTGTTGATTTCATCCGTTCTGTTTTTCATGTGGAGGCTGCGATCACTTCATCCCCGCCTCTCTGTGCTGTGTGTGTGTGTTGCAGAGCGGCGGCTCGCTGTAACAAAGGCATCGAGGTGCTGCTGGCGGTGGCGTTGGAGCATTTCGTCCTGGTGGTGGTCCGAGTCCTCCGAGGGCCGACGCAGGCGGACGAGTCGGCCAAGAAGTTGCGTAAACTCGTCCACTGTCAGTGGTGTGAGGAGAGGGTCTTCCTGAAACTGGGAAACATGACGGACGGTCAGTCTCTTTTTTTTTTATGACTTTATTGCCGGCTGTTTTACTTCATTACAAGTTGTCATATTTCATCACAAATTTTGTTCATCCTGACACATTTTATATATATTTTTTTAAACACGCAAGAACACATACAACATGAAATAAAATAAAAATAAATAAAAATTCAAAGAAAAGGTGCGAAGAGAAAAAAGATAATTAAAATAAGATTTAGAAAGAATAATACGTTTTTAAACAAAATCCTGAAACTGCTTTAAAAATAAAAACATTTTTGGGGCGCTGGTGGTGCAGTGGTTAGTGTACGCCCCATGTATGGAGGCTGTAGTCCTCCAAGCGGGCGGCCCAGGTTCAAATCCGACCTGTGGCTCCTTTCCTGCATGTCATTCCCCTCTCTCTCTCTCTCTCTCTCGAGAGAGAGAGAGAGAGAGAGACTCTATCCACTGTCCTATCTCTCAAATAAAAGCCCAGAAATAAATCCAGAAATAAAAAATAAAATACAGAAATGACACCTGGCTCTCGTCCCTGTGTAAGGCTGAGATGTGAAAGTGTTAATCAGGAGTTTCTAAACCTTAACAGTAGTTTGATTTTATTTCAGGGTGTGAATGAATAAAAGGTAGAAAATGTTTTTGAACTTCTCCTGTGGCAGCGGTGAAACGGGCTGCAGGTGTTCCCGTTCATACAGGTCGAAGACAAAATGAAAAAGTAACCACGACGTCTTGTGTGTTTTTCTTGCAGACACGCTGCCCTGTAACTGTCACGGGAGTCTGCCTGGAAGGACAGCGGTGCAGCTGGGACCGTTATGGTAAAAAAACAAAAACTCTCAGCCTCTGCATTTAGGGGGCGTGTCATAACCACTAGGCCATTCTATAGAAACAGTTTTTCCTGGGGGCACTGGTGGCGCAGTGGTTGGTGTGCACGCCCCATGTATGGAGGCTAGCCTCCTAGCGGGTGGCCCGGGTTTGAATCCGACCTGTGGCTCCTTTCCCGCATGTCATTCCACACTCTCTCTCTCTCTCCCTGATTTACGACTCTATCCACTGTCCTATCTCTCCATTAAGGGCACAAAAAGCCCACAAAAAAGATGAGATCATGCAACAAACAAATGTGTGACGGCTCGTGGTCTACTGTACGTCCATCTTTGAATGTTTGACCGTCATTGCATCGGCAAGTTTACGACCCATAATCTGTAACTGAAATGACAGACGTGAAATAACCTTAATGACAGTTACAATCCAACAGAGAACTGTGCAGAGGTGTGCAGTATTAGCGAGCTACACATGCACACTTAACACACCTGTAGGTTAACCCTCGCTGGTACGCAGCTACCTGCACAGAATGGGGGGGGGGGGGACAGAGAGAGTGCAGGGAGGGAGATGCTTCAGGGATTTTTCTATCCTTGTGGGGACATTCTGCACATTTTCTCCAGTGATGGTTAACGATATTGAAAAGGTAGCTTTGTAGCGTGCAGCTATAGGAAGACTTTCTTGCTCACCAGCTGGGCGTTCCATTAGTGTTTGTTCACATCATGTGAATGTGTGACAGGTGCGGTCCCCTGTTCAACACGGGCTTCCTGAGGAGGATGCTGTCGGCAGCCGTGCAGCACAGCATGGACGACATCCAGGGGCTCGTCAAGACTCTGATCTGTGAGTCCGAGTGCACCGTGCTCAAGTCGTCGGCTCTCACCAACCAGGGTAAAGGAATCCGCCGTCCTGCATCTGTGATCCGTTGACGTTGCTCATGTTTACAGATGACTCTCTGTTTCCTCTCTGCAGCGGAGTGCGGCGTCGTCATTAAGACGCCACCGAACGGAGAGGAGTCGGGTCCTGCCGATCAGTCCGGTGAGTCCGATGGTAGATCCCGATCTCCATCCTGCATCCCGAGCACTGAACCCTCACAGACTTTTAACGGCGTCCGGTTCCGCAGTGTGAGGGCTCGAGTAACGGGACGCACTATCATGACGTCACATTTTTTTGTCATTAACACACTGGAGTTTTCTGCACGTGTGAAAGCCCTGAAAGTGAGACAGCACTAAACCCTCACACACTTAGCGGGGAATGCGTCTAAAAGTCTGTGAGTCAGCGAGTGTGGAGTTTGAGATTCAGTCGTAACAAACACTTGATGCTGTTTCCAAGTTTCTGACTGAGGATTATTTTTAAAGCCAGGGTCATTTTTTACAAGAAATTGTATCGGGGGGTTAAAAGACCAAATGTGATAACATGACAGAAAAGAGAGAGCACCTTTTGTTAAAGAGGAAGACGCTTTAATTAAACCTGAGCGGGACAAAGACCCTTTAATTGTCCCCACAGCGCTCTGCATCAGTCAGTCTCCCCCCGACCAATCACAGAGTAACAAGACTACAGAGAGCGGCTCCTTATAGCACTGAGCTGCAGCTCTACAAGCGCCCTCCAGAGGGCAGTGTAGCTAGTAGCTTCTGAGGCACTGAACCATGAAGATGCTCTGCAGTGAAAAGCCTCGATTGAAGGGATTTTTGAATCCCCTTTAAAAGGAAGAATGTGACTCCGGCCATCAAGTTTCTGAGCTCTAATGATGACCCTGATGACTGATGATGGATTTATTTGGTTTAAAGGAAGACTTTGTGTCATGTTCCACATCAATAAATCATAAATCCAGTCTCTCCTGTGTAAATGTGTCTCTGAGTCCTGACCGTCTACAATGAGGGAGAAGCTCGAGTCCCGCTGGCTGTGTTGTTGTCAGAGCCGTGTTTACATGGACGGGACGGCCGGCTCCTCCCCTTGTGTATAAAAGCTGTTTTAGTCAAGAACTAGAGAGAAGAAGAACATACTCACTGATTATTTGGATGTTAGTAAGAGTTTTTAGATCACGCTCATTCTGTGTCAGTTTACATGAAATGTGAAGCTACGAGCTAACTAAAGAGCGCTAACATTAGCATGCTAACACAACAATGTGAAGCTACGAGCTAACTAAAGAACGCTAACATCTAACAGCAGCTGGAGCAAAAGGATTATTTTTGCCCGCTGCTTGCGCTAAACTCCTTCCTGTGAACGCGAGTGGAGGGGGGTTGGAGGTGTGTCTCTGGAGGAGAGCGGAGGCTTCAGTATGGAGGAGGCGTGGCCTAACAGCAGTTTGTTTTGGTTTCATGCTGGAGCTCAAGGGCGACATCTACTGGATCAAAAAGTCGCACATTCTTTCTTTAATGTCTCAATTGTTTTCTTCTTCATTTGATAAGATTTGAACTCTCTGTGTATATTTAATCTGCCTCTTAAAACCACTAAACTCTTCTGTTTTTTTTAACTCTGGGATCTCTACTAGAGTTTAAGATAAATGTTCAGCAGAGCTTCTTCATCCTATCAGGTCTAGTTTTCCGTGCGGATCTAATCCTCTGATTGGTTCCTCTGCAGGGAAGAGGAAGAGCGGGGAGGAGTCTGGAAACGTGGTGAAGAAGCTGAAGTCTGATGCGTCTCTGGAGCATCCGCCCTTCTACTACAGCATCCACCGCCACAGCATCAGAGGCATGAACATGCCAAAGTAAGTGACCTCTGACCCCTGACCTCTTTGTGTCTCCGGTGTGTTCCAGTGACAAACCTACCTGTACTCTCTGTGCAGGTTGAACAAGTTTATTCAGTACCTGACCGAGGCCGGCTTCAGGGTAGGTCGGACTCACTTCGACCCGACGGGGGTTCGAACCGACGCCTCGCTGGAGCAGTTCAAATCGGTCCTCACCAAGTACAGCGTCCCCACGTCCTCCAACACAGCGCACACCAGCACGAGCGTGGAGAAGACAATATGAGAGAGTGAGGACGACTGGGCTCCACTTTTTACTGTCTGTGTGAAACATTAAGAAAAGTTCTGACTGCACTGATCTTCATGTTCTGCTTTTCTTTGGTCCTGCAGCGAGCGTTTGATCCTCCGCTCTTCTATTTATTTCAGATTTTCTTTTTCCAGCTGCTTCGTTGTCTCGCTGTTTTCTATTAATTGTAAAATAAAGGAATAAAGTCTTTCTGCAAAGCTTGATTTCTCTGTGAAATGTGAAGACTGTGTACATCTTTATTCAGCGTTTTAAAGAGATAGGAGGTCAAAATGTTTGATCCTTCTCGGTGCCGCGTCTTTTCAAACGATACAATCTTTTGATTTTAATGATGGCAAGGCAAGTTAATTCATTTCAACAACGAGGCAATTCAAAGTGCTTCACATCTAAACATCTAAAGCATCATGACAGAGGAAAGAAAAGAAACATTAAAATAGACAATTTAAAAAATGACTAAAGCAAACAATTCACAGAGAAGAACCATTCGGTATTTTTACTATCTCCTGATATTCCAGATTTTATCAAGGGAGTCGGTTTGTTTTACTCTAACCAGGACACACTTTTATTAATCTTGAATATTCAGTTTATCGTCTATTTCCTAGCAATCTTCAATTATCTAGTAATTGGTATCCCGGGAGATATGTTTAGAGTCCTTCCAGGGACTTTTAGATTTAATTAATAATAATACTAATAATATTATTTATATAGCACCTTTTAAAAACACAGGTTTACAAAGTGCTTTGACAAACAGCAAAAACAAGAACAAACTAAAGCAAACACAGAAGAACATAAACAACAACAAGAACATAACAAATGCAAAATACTAAAAATAATTAAATACAGTTCAACAGAAAAGAACCCAAAGTGCACAATACCCAACAGACATATATAACCCGACCATCAAAAGAACCATCATAAGAACCATCACAAGAACCCAACAACACGAGCTGAGACCAAGAGGAACCAAAGATTTAAAAAGATGTAAGAAACTAAAAGAGCTAAAAGCAAATAAAAAGATAACAGCAATAAGAAGGTAAGAGCAGAAAAAGAAATAGAAACAAGTGAATAAATTATATTAAAAAAAACAATAATATTAATAAAAATAAAAAGTATATATAAATATAAAACATAAATAGACAAAGTAAGTAAGATAAAAAATACCAAGTTAAAACATAAGAGGAGTTAAGGTCAGAGCATTAAGAAGTAAAATAAGATAAAAATAGTAAAGTAGTTACATTTTTAAGAATGTCATTAGACGGCTGGTTATAAGAGAGGAATGAATCCATTAAAAACAAACTCCCCATCCCCAAAAATAAATGAGGCTGTCACCTGCTCGGGGCCACAGGCCAGTAGGGGGCTAACACACTTTGAACCGCAGCGGGGGCTAAACATGAATGTACAAAGTTTGCAATGACAGGAAACTTCCTAATAACTGCTCAAATCCACGAGATGTTCCGCTGAGTGGTTGTCACTTTATTCAACGAGCCTGTATCCAGAGCATCAATTTACCACAGAGCAGATCGAGCAGGACAGGAAGTCAGACCCCGAAACAACATTAAAACATCCGGTTTATTTTTCGGCGCCCCCCCTATTTGAAGCTACTTTCAACATGTGGTTGTCCTAAATATAAAATTACTCGAACGTGAACAAGTTATTTATTTACTATTCTTCTGGTTTTTAAATGTCTGCACATGTATATTTTGAAACATTTTTTGATTAAATTTTGCGTAACTTCACGGTGATGACCTCTGATTGGACGGGCCCCCTGAGGATATTTACATCAGGACCCAACAGACTCTAGAGACGCCCCTGTTACAAGACTTTCTGCACCTTTCAGAGGTCCATTAATCCAATCCGACAACATCAGAGGATGTTTGTTGCATATTTATATAATTTCGGATTTATTGGACTCAAATAAAAGTTTAAAATGGATTTAATGAGGAAACCCTTTTGACTGAGGTTGAGGAAGAAAGATGAGCAGGTTTTTTTTTCTGTGTGAGCGTCACAGAGTAACACACAGAGGAGGAGGAAGAGGAGGAGGAGGTGAAGGAGGGCGTGTCCTCCTCCCTCCTCCTCCTGTGCTGCTTCAGATCGATGAGACCTGTGGACTAAAACCTACCTGTGGATCCTTTCCGGGCAGCAGCACCATGGGGATCTCCGCGTCCAGTCTGCTGGATGAGACCAAATCTAACTACATCAAAGGTAAATCCATTAAATATGTTCGCGACGCGGCGAGGACGCACCGCGCTCTCACCGCGTCCTCACCGCGCTCTAACCGCGTTTCCTTCCACACACACACACACCGGTCGTTTCTGTCGATTTCACAGGAAACTTCCGCCTCTGTGTCTCGTTTTTTGCTCTGGAGATCTTAAATCTGATTGTCAGTGATAATTGGATTTTTTTCATTTTTTTTTTTATTCATCATCACGATGCGCGCTTTTCCTTTTCTCTGCGCTCTGTGGATCTCACTTTTATGTTCAAAGTAATCTGAGTGTTTTCTGTGTCTCGCACCTCCACGCTGAGAGTTTCTCTGTAAATAAACAGCTGGTTATTTCACCTGAGCTCGTTCAGAGATATAAATCTGTCATGTGGAACCTGTCACTCCGGTTCTCACTCGTCTGTCTACACACACATAATCCCTCAAAGATTCACATTTTTCCTTCTCCCCAGGCGGGCTCGTCTGTCTGATTGTAAACTCAGGACGAGGTTTTTGATGCAGTTGTCGGGTTTTTTGCCCCGAGTCTGATCAGGTCTCTCGAGTCTTTCCAGTCCTGCGGGGAGAGAAAGGTGAGCCGGGAGAGAGTGGAGGGACATGTTTGTGTCTTTTGTCCTCCGCTGCAGGGTGTGTCCACGGGTGGATCTGTGACACGACAAAAGATGTTTTTTTTTTGCTGAGGTGGATGACAAGTCTTTAAAGTAGAGCAGACAGGTGCAGAGCCAACAGGTGGGCACGAAAGGACGGTGGCCTGCGTGTGCCAACATTAAAACCACACCTCTTAAACATTTCAGCACTAAGTTGATTTTTACAGATGATCAACTTACTTTTGTATTCTTGTGGCTCACAAGTTAGCAGGTGTGGGGGAATTCCAGTAAGTCCGTTTTGAATTCATAGTCCATATTTTGGTCACATCAGTGCTCAAACAAATCAATCTTTCCTCAGATAATGTCTGCACAAAGTTTGAAACCATTTCTCTTTTTCCATAATTCTCCATTTTTACTCTTCTGTCTGCTGATTCATCTTCAGAAAAACAAGTCAGCGCACCAGTTCCCATAAGAAAAGTCTCGTATTTAAAGACTGAGCGGACTTTTTTAAATCGTTAAAGAGGTAAACTAAAGTTCAATATTCAAATTTATTGCAAAGATTATCATAGAGCTATTTCTACTTTTCATGAATGGACATTGTAGAGAGCTGTCCCCCCCCCTCCTCTCTAGAGTGGATGCTCACTCAGGTCACCATGTGGTGGACTCTGAAGCTTCAGTGTTTATCCAGCTCTGCATGGGTCTGTAAACCTTTCTGTGTTCTAACCTCTCTCCATTTTTCAAAAGCATCTCCAATATTGATCCTAGTTTGAGCACGTTTCTGCTCGTGGAGCTTATTAGAAACATGCAGAGGCTTTTTAGGTCGGGTACAATCACTTCTATCTGAACCACTTCTCTTGACCGCTTCCATCGCTGCAACACCTGTTGACCTGATAACTGCTCTCATATCTGACAAACCGAGGGGCGTCCAAAACGGCCGTGTGGGGGGTGTCTTAAAACCGCCTAACTTCTCTGGTCCAAACAAATCCAGAGCATTCAGGAGCAGAATCTAAAGTTAGAAGGAGGACATACTGGCTGCATGTTCAGCATGTTTCCTTAATGTCTGATCAGATAGTAAGATACCTTTATCATTTCTATCTCTACACATCTTACTGACTGGACCTTTACATGTTTGAAGTATTTCATACGTGTTAAAGGAGAAAAAGAAACCAAACCTAAGAAAACTGATGAGTAGAGCGTTCCAGCAGCCATGAGGTGTGTGCAGGATGAAGGCTGCAGCTGCTGCTTCTTGGGTCAGATGAACAACGGACCGGGAGGGGGGTTCAGTGGAAATCCACAGTGTTGTAAACAAACAAAATAAAAGGTGAAAAGTCAGAGAGAGAGCTGAGGAAAAAGAACAGAGAGGACAAAAAAAACCAAAAGAACACAAAGAGAGAGAGAAAAAAAACCCACAAAGGTGATTGAAAACACAGAATAATCTGGAGGTCTTTTATTTTTCTTCTTCTTTTGGTTTCGATCAAAGTCAACTGAGGTGAACGTGAAAGCAGAAACGTGTCTGGAGGTTGACGCTGGACTCCGCTGTTGCCATGGTAACGGGCATTAGGAGTGTCTCGTGTTGTAAACGGGGAAAAAGAAAACTTGTTGTGTTGCGGCACATTGCTCGTGTGGAGTGGAGAAACGATCAGTATATCTGCTTGTTTTATGTTACAGGACACACCTCAGCTCTGTCCTTGACACGGCTGCAGATTATTCCTCTACTTACTCTAGACTTTATTTTAGACCCATATATGTCCTCATCATCAAAAAAAAAGCACAAGAAATATAGATTCAAGATTTGTATTTGTCACATGCTCATACAGATGTGCAGTGAAATGTAAAGACTGTTCCACAAGGCCATGCAATAAACACTCACATTACTAATACACATAAACACAGTAAAAGAGAATAGAATATTTATAGAATATATAGAATAGAATATAAATGCAGGACATCAAAAGAAGGGCTAGAATCAGTACAGTTTGTCAGTAAACTCATACCACAAACACTGACTGCCGTTTCAAGCCGCGATGTTTACGCCCCTGTGACATTTCCGGCCACAATCTGAATGTCCAGGACGCCAATATTACGCTATCGCTGACTCATACGTGATTGTACAAAGACGGGATGACAGCTACGCTAATGTATGGCGCTGTTGCCGAAAACGTAGTCTGAAAAGGGCTCCCAGTGAAAGCGGCTGTAGACCAGTAACTTCAGTATCCTGCTGTTTTTGTTTCAATGGAGTTTGGTGCCGGTGGAAGAGAGCGCTTCTGACTGTTGTTTCTGGCTGCATAAAAGCATCCTTCCCTTGCTGAGAGGTCTATCTCTGCAGGGATAACTTTCTGTAATGTTGTCAGACACTTAGAACAACAATCTGAGCCTAGTCAGGGGCAAAAACAACAACTTAAAGAGGACGGACTTTGACTACATCTCATGCCATTACAGCCTGTTTCCCAGCTGCAGGCTGTAGAAATGTAACTGATGGAATCGCACAACTTTTTGTACCTTTTCATGTTTTGTTGAGATACACTGGAATTCCCCTTAAAAAGACTCTCTTGGCTGTTTTTAATCTTGGGTATTCTCTGTGTAAAAGCCTCTCTGGCTCTCAGTCGTGTCTGTGTTTTCATGTTTTTCTCGTCAGTTTTTCCTGGCTGATGGTTAGCGTAGCGGAGGGCTAACTCATCGCAGTGACACTGTGCATGATGGAAACATTTTTCTCCCTCAGTCTGCTGCCCTAAATAGTGTGTTTGTGTGTGTGTGTGTGTGTGTGTGTGTGTGTGTGTGGTGTGAAGGTTTCAGGGTGGGGTGGGTGTGTGTGTGTTTGTTGAATTTTCTTTGGCAGGGTACAGGGTTGGGTAGGTGCCTGGCTGGTTGGTTGAAGCGATCCTGCTCGATGATTCATGAGCTGTCAGCGGTGCAGTTTAGGTGGAGGCAGATGCCCCATGTCACATTTTTCTTTTATATTTCTGACTCATTATCATCATCAACCCTCCAGGAAACTGTTCAGCTGGTGCCTACACATCTCTTCCCGATATCAGTGTACAAAAATTCAAAAATATTGTGTGAATCAGGGCTTTTATGTTTTTCCTAAAAATGAAGAAAACTCTTACAATGTTTGTCAGACTTAAAGGAGCAGTATGTAACTCTGACACCTAGTGTTTAAAATGGGTACTGCAGTCTAAATTATAAACATTGTAGAGAGCTGCCCCCCCCCCTCTCTAGAGTCCATGCTCACTCAGGTCACCATGTGGTGGACTCTGAAGCTTCAGTGTTTATCCAGCTCTGCATGGGTCTGTAAACCTTTCTGTGTTCTAACCTCTCTCCATTTTTCAAAAGCATCTCCAATATTGATCCTAGTTTGAGCACGTTTCTGCTCGTGGAGCTTATTAGAAACATGCAGAGGCTTTTTAGGTCGGGTACAATCACTTCTATCTGAACCACTTCTCTTGCCCGCTTCCATCGCTGCAACACCTGTTGACCTGATAACTGCTCTCATATCTGACAAACCGAGGGGCTTCCAAAACAGCTGTGTGGGGGTCGCCTTAAAACCGCCTACCTCTCTGGTCCAAAAAAACACCGAGCAGTTTATAGACGGCAGCATGTGTCTGTGGTGTTTTATGGGTCTTTTGGTGTATTTTCCAAACTAAAACTTAACAGCAACAACAAAGTCAGCAGGACCAAGAGAGCAAGAACTCTACATGATGATGTTACAGATGTTACTCACAGTGATGATGTTTGATATTTGTCCGTTTGAGCAGCTTTAGAAGCTGGCAGAGTGATGCCTCATGTTTGTAGTCCACGTTTTGAACAAGCAGAGGAAACATCTGCTGTTTTCTCCGTGGAGTTTCTGCATTATTCATCATTGAACAGCTCATCCCATCATGACAGCTCAGTGACTCATGCACCTCGATGGGTACCAGTAAGTCTTAAATTGTTGCTTGTTTCTGATTGGTCAGCGAGGGATAAGCTCCTGTGTGAGCTGGTCCTGCGATCAGTGTTCAAACATTATTCATGTAATTGTTACAACCTGATGCTTTTAGTCAGGACTAGGACTGTGATGTTAAAACTGATTCATAAGCGAACTATTTTGGCCTCATTTTAAGACCTCATGTGTTGGATTGACTTTTGGGGCTCAAGTTCCTTCACACAGGCTGTGATGGTCGGTTGGTTCCTGCTAAAGGTGACCATATCCACAGATAGGTGACCTGCAATGATCACACAAGCTGGATGGCAAAGGTTTCCTCCAGGTGCTGAAACTTAAAAATAAATACATCTTTAACATAGGACAGGCGCTTAGGAGAGGAGGGACTCCATCATAACTGGTAATTAGAAACAGCCTGAGACTTACATTTTAGTTACCATGGTAACAAAACAGGTATTAATACTGTACCAAAGTTAAACATTCT